GGGGGGGGGGGAAAGAAATCAGACAAAAGTTTTCGCACGGAAGGGAAAAAATATAATTCACCTGCGAAAATTTCAGTTATACGGTCGCGCTTACAATTACACTCGTGTAAATGCACGCGGCACCTGCACGGAAAAGACGACGAGAGAGAGCTTTTTCTTCTCCCCCAATGCACTTTTGCTCGGCAGCCTCGGCTATTAAAACGCGCGCCGTCGCCTTTTTCGTCTCAAGTATGCATAATATACACCTACATGTACGGCCGAGTTTTTCTATTTCTTCTTCGCAGCTCCGATGCTGTGCCATACGGGCTCTGCAATGTATATGTACGTTTTTCCACCCTGTAAGAGACAGAGAGAAAGAGTATTATCTTTTCTCATCCGTGTCTGTGCGAAAAGTCGCGTCGTCATGGATAAAAATGCACTCTTTCTCTTTGCCCGTATGTATGTATGTAATTTTAAAAGTTTCAACTCGTGTTTATTTAGCCGGAAATTTTCGTTCGACTTTCAGATCTTGCGCACACAATATATACATATATATACAATGTTTAAAAGAGTAAGACGTATATTCGTGCAATGTGCGCGAACTTTATTTATGCAAAGGGGCCGTTTACCTGCGACAAAAAAAAAGGTATATGCGGATCGTGACCATTTTTTTACATCACGAGACTTGTGGAGACAAATTCATTTCATTTCCAAACGAGCGGATAAATTAATTTATGCAGAAAATTAAAAAAAAAAAAAACGACTTTCTTGTAGGGCATGACCAATATACGGATTGCCAGAGTTAAAAAAAAAAGTGTAATTTAATATTAATTTTGATGTAATATCCAAACGAGTTTTGTATTCGCATTTTGTCCGTAAATATCAAAGTAATGAAATTACATACTTTAATTTGAACGCAAACGTGTAAAATGTACGTGATCAGCGTCGATATTGAATTCCAAGCTACTTGTAAAATTTAAGCTTTTTCGGATTTTATTATAATTACTTGAGTTGAACGAAATTTAATACGGTGTGATCGCGTCCACAAATACATACACTCATTCTATGTTGAAAATCACCTTTGCATCGAAAATCAGATCATTTACACAAATGATTAAATTTTTTGTTAAAAAAAAATCTCCAAAATTCAATCAAACCCAGTACAGGGAGAAATAGAATCAGTGCTCGCGTCGTGATTCATATTATATACACACAGAAAATATGAAAATAACAGAAAAAAGGTACACATGTAGTAAAAGTAGGTGCTGAGATTTTTTTTTTTTCTGGGTTACAATGGGAGAGGATAGCGTATATACACATGTATACACACGTGATTCATTCTCGCGTGTGCTTTCTCATCGGGTGGGAGGGGTGCTGCGGTATACACCTGTATATACACACAAATATATATATATATAAAAAAACACGCTCGTACGGTATACGAAAACTTTGTCTGACTCAACCTCGTCAAACCCCCCTATACCTCCCGTACTAACCGCAACTACTGTATTGTATATCTATAGAGCATTCATTCTGGTTCAACACGCACATCGCCCTCTCTCTTTTGCCTGTTGATGCATACATATATGTGTACAACCACAGGTATATATACGACTTCTCTTTTTAACTTGGACGCGTGTCCTTTTCCCTTCATTAAAGTGTTACGTGCTCTCGTGCACACACGTGCGAGTTGAAAGAAAAAGGGAGGGTGCCTGCGGAGCCGAGAGGCACCCTATACAACATATATATATGTATAGGCGCTTCTTTACAAAGAACAGAAGCGCATCAGCGAAAGAAAGAAAGAAGAAAAAAAAAAGAGCAAGTTCGAAGAGATAGGCGCGTGAGCCGGAAAATCTTGAAAGGCTCACTGCGCGACGGGTTAAAGGGTTTAACGTGATCAAGTGCAGAGGAGGGAGGAGAGCCATATACCTCGAGGTTTTTCTCCCCCTCTGTATTTGCGTGAATCCACCGAGAGACAGACTGAAATGTTAAATAGTTTACAGGGTTGTGTGGTTTTACTATTTGTTTAAAGAAATCTGACTCTATGCAGCCC